AAAATGTAGCAGATACCTATAACTTCTTTTTGGGAACTATATATAATTGATAGTTGAGATATATAGGAAACTGGAAGTAATTCTAATTCTTTTCACTGAAATCATGCTATGAATCGAGCAACTAAAGTAAATGTGCGTGCATATGTCTCTCTCTCTCTCTCTCTATGTATATATATTATGTTATTATTCACTAAGAGAGAGAAGGGAGTGTATGCTTACAAACTTCTCAACCTCATTTATGTATGCCGGTACCTGTGCATGATTTAGTGACATGAGAGGGCTTTGGTATAGGTGATACAAGTCTGGCTCATAATTGTTCCTTGGGATTTTGATGTGGGCTCTCTTGGGACCATGAATCAAATTGGTTGACCTGGATTGTTGCTCACTTTGATATTGAATTTGTCACATACAATAATCTCCACTTCTCTTAGAACAAATTAAAATTTCCAAGCAAGTAGAAAACATAATCATGTTCAATAAATTATTAGTTATTGCTCGTCCTTATAATTATCAAATATTCTAAGGGAGGAGGGGGGGGGGGGGGGGGGGGGGAGGGGGAGGGGGAAGAGTGAGGAATTTTCCCATAGTAGCAAATGATATGAATGAAGGATTTATGATCTAGGAGGCTCTCCACTCCAATTGGCTACAGGAGCAAGTTAAACCCTAATTGGCTACTTTGGTCCAACCTAACAAATCCATTGAGTTGCAACGACGGGATCACGCCGTATAGAGAGTTTTATCACCTTCGTGACCGAACATCATGATACAGTCGCGATTCGAGCTAGCTGAGAGGCAATGACGTGATCTTGATAAAATTCAGATCGACTAGATCGCTTTCATGACCGAACATCACGATACAGTCGTGATTCGAGCTAGTTGGGAAGCCAATGACGGGATCACGATAAATTCCATATCAACAGGATCGCCTTTGTGACCGAACCTCGCGATATAGTTGCGATTTGAGCTAGCTGGGAAGCTAATTATTTGGTTCATGACATATAAGGTTCCACAACCTAGCGATACAGTTACGATTGGAGCTAATTAGGAAGCCAATGGCAGTATCACAATGTACATGAGTTCCGCTTTCATGATTGAAAACCATCCTCAGAGTAATGATAGCCAAGAAAATATGTATCTTTCAAGAGAAATTAGGTGGAGATGTGAGCCAAATCAGATTTTGAATGGAGATGCATTTTGGTCATGGAGAGGCGGTTCTCATCCATGAAGAGGAGATTCATGGCCTTGGAAACTAGTGATAAAGAAGATTATGGAGTTTTATGCAAATACGTCGCCGCTCACCATGGGATCAAGTAACGACGTCTGAAGCGGATGTGAGCGGCAACAATCAAAAGGATTTGTGCGACATTAGAGCGGCGTTGCTGCCTTATGCGGATATGGAGTCGCAGGATTCAATGAAGGAATCGGGAGCGAACTAAAGTGGCAAAACGTAGAAGGAATACACGACATCCAGACTGTTGGAACGAATAAAAGCACGCGGGATAGAGCGAAGGATTCAGGAGCGGATTCAAGATGCAACATTTGGAGGGAATTGCACTACATATGTAGATTTGGAACAAGTGGCAACAGGTGGAAGGAGACTACATGTAATTTAGTGTTGGAGTAGATCGATTAGAAGGTTTTGGCCTGGAATAGAGAGCCATGATGGGTGGGTCGCCAGCGGAGAGCTGTCCAACTACACCAGTGCTTTTTGTTGCTGCAGTCTTTTGATCGGAAGGCGATTCATGAGCCCATGGGGACATGCGAGCTGATTATGTGATGAGTCAAACTTATGAAAGAAGGGAAATCAATATGGGGCAAGGGAACCCAACCTTGCTTCATAGATGGAAGGAGCTTTGATCGAGAAAATTGGGGAGAGACGAGCTTAACAAAGCTGAAGATGCTGATCTTTGAAAGAGATGATGACTATTGCTGGGTTTATCTTGTGGAGATATATTTTGCTGTTAATGGATAGACAAAGAAGAAAAATTGGAGGCGACGACTCTATGTTTGGAAGGGAAGGTTCTAGTGTGGTGTCAATGGAGAGAATGTTAGCCAATTAGAACATTGGAAGAATTCAAAAACCAGTTTTTAGAACGTTTCAAATCCAAACGGGAAAGGGGTTTATACGAGTATTTTTTTGCATTGGTCCAAGAAGGGTTCATCATTGATTCTAGTGAGAAACTTGAAATGTTATTTCCGACCATTTGAGAGGGCCATCAGAAGAAGTGTTGAAAGGAAACTTCATGAAAGGGTTGAGGATGGAAATTCGAGCAGTGGTTCATCTATTGTTACCGTGGGTATTGGGGGGATACTATGAAACTAGCACAGTTGGTTGAAGATACAATGAAATGGGCTAATAGAACAACAAAAGTGGAGTGTCATACCGAAACCTACCACGACGATACCAAAAACTTAAACCGTTGGATTCCAGAAGAAGGCTCTACAGTACAAGAATAATATGCCACGACGAGGGGCATTATTTTAATGGCTTATAGAGACTGATTCAAAAGAAGCGAGCCAAGTGGTTATATGTTCGGTGTGACTACAAGTTTGCCTTACGAAATTGTTGGACGGATTGGATCTACAAGTTCTCATAGTGTGTGCCAAGGAGCAGGGGATGAAAAAACAGAGGAGGTTGCAGTGGAGGAGGAAAACCCTTACTTAGATTTGACAAAATTGTGATTGAACTCGATGGTGGTGTTAACACTGAGCCATACTATGAAACTTCGGGGACAAATCAAGGAGTACGACGTAGTGGTGTTTGTAGATTATAGGACTGCACAGAATTTCATCTCTGCTTTAGTGAAGTAATTTGGGCTTGAGATGGTTGACATATGAAGTTTTGGAATCATGATGGAGACGAGACTGATGGAGAATAGCAGAGAAGTTTGTAAAGGGGTGATTAAAACACTACAAGGTATTTAGGTGGAGGATTTTATTCCCTTGGATTTAGGGAGCACTTATGTGATATTGAGTATAAAATGGTTGCAATACTTAGGAGAAACTACGATTAATTAGAAACTCTTGACAATTGATTATTACGAGGAAGACAAGATGGTGGTGCTTTGCAGTGACCCTAATATGTGTAAGACCTTGTTGACACTGAAGACCATGGTTAGGGTAATGCAGGACTCAGGGTTGAGATTCTTGATTGAGTCGCATAAAATGGAAAAGACGATTGATACAAAATTGACAAAGATTCCGACACCCATCTAACAACAGCTACAACAATTTGTAAATGTTTTCAAGTTGACACGTGGATTGCCGCCTCATAGGGAACCCAGACATGCAATAACCTTGAGACTGGGTGTTTCTCCCATCATTTTACGCCAATATCAATACCCCCAGGTACAGAAGGACTAGATCGAGTGGGAGGCTAGGATCATACAAACTATTGTGAACCCCTTCTCTGGCCTAGTCTTGTTAGTGAAGAAAGATGAGATGGTATTTTTGTATGGACTATCAGGCAGCAAATAAGGAGATAATACCTGACAAATTTTCTATCTCGATGATTGATGAGCTAATGGGTGAGTTATCTGGGGCTACGTTATTCTCCAAGATTGACCTGAAGTTACCATAAGATTTGGATGTGGCCTATGGATGTGCACAATACTACATTTCAAACTTATGAGGGTTACTATGGTTAAATGGAAAGGAAGGCCATATTATAATACCACGTGAGAGTCATACAATTTGACACAATGACAAGTTGCTCTTTTCTCTTTTGAGGACTGTGTCTTTTTGTGAGGGGAGTCATGTTAGATCGGCGCTTATGGTGTCGTTTGCCTCGTGCTTAACTGAGTTAATGTCGAGCTCGCTAAATAATTTGAAGACTAATGTTAGACGCAAGATTTAAAGGGAAATTTTGGTCGATTGTTAGTTTTTATTGTGGGATATAAACAGGGCTTAATGTTTTTAGGGTTGGGTTGCCTGATTGTTGTCTTGAATCTTAGGGTTATGGTTTGGGAGGGACCGCCTAACTCTCGAATAGTAGTTGTTCATCTTTTATGTATTTGAGTTGTGTTTTTTTGTACTGATGAAATAAAATATTTTGTTTGCACCAAGTTCTGTTGATGCTCGTTTCTTTCATATTAGTTTATAACTTATCCTCCTTTGTGATGACTTAACATGCTGGGCCAATTAGATAATCCCTAATTCTGTACTATAATAGCAACTAAAGATCTTCATTAAATCGATTCTTGGTTTTTTAAAAAGCAAAAACTCTAAATTTTCCACCCAATATCAATGATGTAACCCTATTGATCCCTCTCTTGATTTTGGATCACCTTTTACGCTGAGTAGTTAAAATTGTTTTCCTGACTTTCATTTGATATGTGTGAATCAATGAATATTTATGTTTTAGCTTGCCATTGTTTATAGTTTTGAAATGAGGTCACGTTAGAAATTCAATTTATGATGTGTTGGCGACTAGAAACTAGTTGAAACATTTTAAAGAATTCAAAATGCCTTTCAAATTTAGTCGATTGTTTCAGAATCCAAGAAAACCTTTAGGACTACAAATGGGGAACTTCTTAAGCATGAAGCACTTGCTACTAATCAGTGCTCAATCTATAAGTTGTCTGAATGATTTTCTAATGTTATAATGAAATATGTCACTTTATTTGGCTAAAAACAATGCACCAGGAAACTTCTGAGATTGATTCGAGCATAAATTATATTGAAAATGGACTTGTATTTAGCCCAATTGGAAGATTTCTTTTTAAGATTTATTTAACAAAATATTTTTGTAGAATCTGACTAGCATTGTTGATGCCTGAAAATATGAACTAGTTGAATTGCTCCATTATATTTTTTCAACCATAATTTGGTTCTGTAGCATTGCATAACTTACAATATCATTGCTAAAAGTATTTCAATATGCTTACTTCATGTGAACGATGGCATCTAGAAGTTATTGGAAAATTGCTTTCATATCCTCTAAAAAGTTGTTATTTCTTTTCTCTGTTGAAAGGGGCATGATTATTGGGACTTTGTAACAGGAAAGCAGGTACTGTGAAATGGTGAGACGGATGGAATTTGACCAACACCTTGGACCATATCCTTTGGATCATTTTGGAAATTGGAAACAACTTTCTTGTTACATTTCAGAGAGTACAATTTCACGAATTGGTATGCTTCTTATAGCAGAAAATACTTTTAATATTATGTCTTGAAGCTTGCAAGAATTCAAGTTATTTTCTATTGCTGGAGTCTTTTAAGGTCAACATTTTTTTTGTGTCCCTAGGCTGCTGGAGCCAATAATTTAGAATGTCTTTGTAGATTCCTGTTGCAACTCTTGGATTCTGTTTGTGTTTAATTTCACAATTGCCAAAACATGGATTTCACCATGAATTGGGGAAGTCAGCCTGAATGTGGCTTTTAAGTGAGCTTGTATGTGATATATCTTATTGCATGATCTCCATTACCTGGAAAAGGACAAGCACAGAATATCTTAACTGATTTTAGGTTACCAATACTTTTATATTGTTTTTTTTATGTCTTTTCGAGAGACTTCTCTTTGCTTTTGAAATAGACTTGTACCTAGAAGTTAATGGTTGAGGGAATATACTATTCTAGCTTAAGCTTCTCTGCATTCCTCCTTTTCACGCTACTGCACTTCACTGCAGGGTATCTTCAACAGAGGTGAGTTTGTCCTCTTCTCCTTACTTTTTTCTCGCGTGGGATGAGTGCCCCTTGCCTCACTGCACTTATGGAACAGTCCTCTTCTACTTTCAATGAGGGCTTTGCATCTCTCAATATTGAAGAATAACCAATTCCTCCCTCACTCAAGTTTCTCGTCTCCGACATCAAGAACGTAGTCAACGCCCCTCTTTCAATGGACAACTATTCTTAATGCCGATCTTAGTTCCTGTAAATCATTAGGGCTAATGGCCTCACTTAATTCATCGATGGTTCCATACATAACAAATGATGCCAGAATATCTACATTCAACCGAGCTCATAGCACATGGATGCTAATAGACCAAAACCTGGAAGTAGCCCTTCTATCTAAGGTATCAAACACTAAACTACTATATATAATCAATCTTGACAGCTGTTGAGAAAGCTGGATTACATTGGGAAAATGCCTACAAGCTACAAATAGATCAAAAGTTATACAGCTCAAAAACGAGCTCCACAATGTGTCGATGGAGAACCAGATCATGGCACAATACTTAACACAAATTAAAATTATGGTAGACAACATTTCTGCATTCGGATCAATAACAGACACAGAGAACATCATACTCTACACTCTCAAAGGACTGCCACCAGCATATTAGGCGTTCAAAACTGCGATTCGGACCTCTCTCACCCCCATAAGTCTTGAGGATCAATATTCACTTCTTCAAAGCGAAGAGGTATACATCTCCAACGATAGTCCCACTAATCTACCACAACCAGATTTTCATATGGCTCTCAATGCGGACGAGGCTGCAACTCCTAACGTGGGCGGGGAAGGAACATTAACTCATCCAAAAATTCGACTGACCAACAACAAAAACAGCAACCTCCCACTCCAAGCACATGCTAAATTTGCTACAAAAGTGGTCATCTTGCGTCTGATTGTTGGCATCACCTAAACATTAATTACCAACCTAACAAGCCAGCTCAATATAAAACACTCTTCGCTTCCTCTAGTAAAAATCAGGACTGACATCTTGACATCGGGGCTTCAAATCATCTAACCACCGACTTCAATGCCCTCCATCATTCTGAACCTTACCATGGTCATGAGCAAGTCTTCGTCGGTAACGGTACTGCTGTACCCATTCAAAACTCCGGCCAAGGCTTACTTCCAACACCATCACGTAAGCTTCTCCTCTCAAAATTTTCACACTCCCCAAATCACTCACGGCCTCATCTCTATCTCACAACTTGCATTCGACAATAAGTGCATCATTATATCTGGCGCATCCGGTTATCAAATTCAAGATCATACCACATGGCAAACACTTCTCCAAGGTCCATGTTGTGATGGATTCTATCCCATACCCATCCTAAAGCAAGCCATGCTCTCCATATCGACTTTCACCGATTTTTGGAATCATCGATTTAGTCATCCACATAAAGACGTTCTTAATTCTATATTTAAACAACACCTCTATCTATGTATTTTAAAGTTCACTTCATTTTGTAGTTCGTGTACTACGACTAAGCTACATAGGCTACCTTTCTTCCCCTACAAAAACCATATGTACAATCGTTAGAACTTATCCATACTGATGTATGAGGACCCTCCCCATATGTCTCTAATCAAGGTTTCTAATTCTATGTTATCTTTGTGGATGATGCTACAAGATAATCTTGGGTAACTCTCATAATTCACAAATCAGAAATTCTTTAACACATCCATAAAATGCTTAAGGTTTGATGGCGGAGGCGAATACCTAAACCATCCATTTGACACCTTCCTAACCACCCACGACATCATTCACCAGTTCTCATCTACCTGTATCCCAGAACAAAATGACATCGCTGAACGAAAACATGGCCACTTACTTGAAACCACCAGAGCACTGAAAGCCCCATCCAACTTACCACTTCAATTCTGACCTGATACAATCAACACCACAGTGTACCTCACCAACCATGCCTTCACCAAACACCCTTCTCCAATCCCCATACCAACTCCTCTATAACAAACCACTAGATTACAAACATCTCTGAGCATATAGATGCACATGTTTTTTTATTTTCCTCCCTCATACCGTAACAAACTAGCTCAAGGCTCTGCTCAACATGTCTTTCTAGGCTGCCTCAACAATATAAAAGGTTATAAATGTCCTGACTCCGTGAGCGGAAGAATGCTTATATCTCTACATATTATCTTCAGTGATGAATCCTTTCCCTACCAAGAACCTTCCTCCAACTCACGTCACGACACACCAAATACCAACCCACACTCATTGACACTACTCCCTACTTCCACCGCCACCCGCTCCCACTCAACACGGGAACAACCGAATGACTCAACTTCCCCTATGTCACTGTAGGGTCTCTTCAACACTTGCCCAACACTTTCCCTATACTTTTTGCCTTTATTTCTTTTCTAGAGACTTTCTTAACCTTATAAATAGACTTGTATCTAAAAGTTAATGGTTGAGGAACTTCTCTCCTTTCCTCCTTTTCACGCTATTGCACTTCACTACAGAGTCTCTTCAATGGAGGTGAGTTTTTCATCTTGTCCTTACTGCTTTCTTGCAATATTTTTGTTTGTTGGCTAAGGCAGCCTAGCCTTTGTGGCCACAACAAGTCTTAAAAGCATCGATATATTTTTTTTAATTTAGCTTTTTTAGAATTTTCTCTAGCCTTCAAATGATGAAAATAATATGTATTCATGATAGATTACTTAAACATGGTCGTTGTTGGATCCAAACGAGTTTATTATATAGCATAACATTCAAAAAGTTTAATTTTCATGCACATACAAGTATGAAATTTAAACACATCATATTAGGAATGCAAATGATGCAAGCGCACATGGAAAACACGCTAATATACAAGCGAAGTTGCTACTTATCTATTGGCTTGATCGAGGTAGTCAACCGAATGTCATAATCAACGGGGTATGTTTGGGTTGGGGCGGCCAACTGGACCAAATTGATCGTTCTATTGGGCCAAGGCTACTAGACGGGCCTAAGTGGTCGGTCGAACTGGGCGGGGCGACCTAAGTGATTGGTCAACCGGGTCAGGCGACCAGTCAGACTTAAGTGGTTGGTCGACCTGCCCGTGGCGTCCGATCGAACCAAAATGGTCGGTTGACCAGGTCGGGGCGGCCTGTCGGACCCAAGTAATTCATGCAACGTGCTACGTGAAATAGCGATCAAACATACAATCATATGTAAACATTCGTGTTCGATTACGAGCTTTATTCCTCCTAGTTCCCTCACATAGGTACTTAGGTTTCTATGCATGAATATGCGGCATAGCCGCCTCCGGCTTCGACGAAGTGTGTGGAAAATTGTCTTCTGATTTCTCGAAGAAAATTCTCAACGAATCTTAGAATGGATGAGCTACAAAGCCTTTTCCATTTACGACTCTTCATAAACTTTATAAAATGGACTAACTTCAAAGCTTTTTTCCATTCTACAAAATCGAAAGTGTTCTAACCCCTCCACGGAGAGTTGGAACCGCGAAAATCAGGGGAAATGTAGAATTCGACTGTTTAGGGTTAGGGATAAGGCTTCTGCAAAGGAGATCACTCGAAATCATAGGAGATTTGTCCACGACAGAATCTTATCCTAGCGACTTTCTCTAGGAAAACAACATGTCAGCCTTAATCATTCTCTACCACAAACCTAAGGCCAACTAAGGAAAGGAATATGAAAGGGAGCAAGAATATCACCTACGATTTTTGATGATGTCTTCGGTTGCAAAGACGAAGCTCTCCTCAAATAGGAGGGATAATGGCCGAAATCCTTCCTCGATGTAAAGATGAAGCTCTCCTCGTCGAAGAGAACAATGCAGTCACCGGAAGCCTTCTACAACTCATGGAGAAGCTCTCCTCACGGGAGAGGTGGTAAGGCTCGCCGGAGTTTCTCCTTCTCCTAAGAAGGATGAGGCTCTCCTTGTCGTAGGATAGAACTTCGAGTTCACTGGAGTTCTTCAGAGAGAAAAGAGTTCGCCGGAGTAAGGGAGTTCCCCGGAGAAAAGGAGGGCGGAAGAAGATGAAAAGGAAGTTGGAAGATCCACCTCTTTGGCCTTTCTCCTTGAGGAAGATGAAGAAACTTCCTCAAAACCTTGCTTCAAGAAGTTCTCTTCCAAAGAAACTCCAATTTTTTCTTCCTTTCCCTAAGCACCAACCTTCTTTTTTCTTTAGAAAATCAGGAGGTCTACCCAAAAAGAAAAAGCTTTTTTTGGTTATGGGTCTAGCCTAGCTCAAGTTCCAAGCCCCCACCAGCCTAATATTTTCATGCCCAACAGGATCTCAAATTTCGGCTTCACGAGGGGAAGTGCTACGACTCAAAAATTCAAAAATTTCAGTACAAAAACCGGACAAGCGCGTACTTTCCCACTGCTCGGGAAAATGCAATTTTTGAGGCATTTTGAGCACATAAACACCCAGGATTGGCACCTAGGCGCCAGCTTACTGGCGCCTACTTTTCCAGGGCTCGGGAAAGTTGTCC